ACAGAAAATCTTCTCGTACAATGGCATATTTTAAAAACAAATATTTCTAAAAAATCAAACCAGTTTATGGATTTCAATATCATTGTATGCAAACCCAACTCAACAAATAATTTGCTGAAAATTTTAATCGAAGACACTTTATACTATCTAAAAAAGTAAAATAATATTTATAATTGATATTAATTGTTAAAATATATTCGTCGTATTAATTACATAATTATTTATTTAGGTTTCTCACAGATAAACTTTACGATGTATCTACATCAGATATAAATGATACAATACCCACTAGAGGAAAATATGATGGTAATACTTCCATCTATTGTCCTGTGAAATTTGCAAATGGTAAACTCTCTATTGGATCTAAAAGACATATGGTAGTTTATCATAATAAGTATTATTACATGAGCTCGTCCAAGGACTTTAAAACGTTTATTTCTAATCCTGATAGATATACATTGTTTACTAGTGTCCCAAAATTGTATCCTAAACCTAAAATATCCTTACTTTTTTCATTTGGTCTCAGTTCAGTAAATTTTACTAACGAAATATTAGATGAATTTGATTTGACTCTTATAGACTCGTATAAAGTATTTAAACACAACATTTTACCAAATAATATACCAATGGTGGGTAAAATGTACGAGGAACCGACGCTTAAAAAGATTGTAGATAAATATTTTATTCCTGAAGAACAAAAGGATTATATAAATAGCCTGAGAAAGTATATGGATAAGGAAAGTGCTTACATGAACAACGAAGATTGGTTAAAAATGAATTCGTTTTTTTTTCAAACCAACGAAGGAATATGCTTTAAAAATTACCCCAAAAATTTGATAGAATTGAAGTATTTAAAAGAAAATGAAATAAATCCTGATGTTATTATTGAAGTAATTTCTGAAAAACACATTGAAAAACAACACGCCATAACATCAGTCATTCAAAACTGGTTAAATTATCAATATATATTGATCGACAAGGTTATTGCGCGAGACAATGAGACGAGACAAAATTCTATTAATAACAGATCAATATTGTTTAAAAAAAAACTAGCGGAAGTCATAAAACATAAAGAAATACACAGAATTAAAATGCGTTTAGAGCGTATAATCAGAATGATTGCAACGGAAACAACGGCAGACGGACCGAACGCTATAAAATCCATGTGTGATACTGAACAATCGGGTAAATTATATCACAAATCTACCATGTCCTCCATATCAGATTTATTGTCCAGATACTCTGAACTAACGTTGAAACAAAAAAAAATTATTATTAACTACGGATTGAACATAAGCGATTTCCTGGATTTAGATGATTTCGAGATGTTGGACAAAATCGACGAGACAGTTAAAAACGAATTTCCTGACGATAAATACATGATATCCCAATGTTTTTCTGACAGCTTTGAATTCCCCCCGGACACCACAATCCAGCAATATTTAGACGCAGAGAAGGATGAGCTTACGGCAATGCGAAAGTTTGCCGAAAAGTCCGACATCCCATGGATAACTGTATCGGGTCCGGATTCCAGATTAGCTGCGCTCAGTGAGATCGCCAAGGTGTTAGCGGCAAACGTCGACGCGCCGTTCGAGACGACATACGACGTGAACTTGGAGACTTCGGAAGACATGTTGCGCGCGGGTGAAGTTCACTTGAGCCAGTTCGGTCGACGGTGCCCGGTGCAAGCGGTCCGTGGTTCGGCCGATCCGGCAATCAAACAGTTTTGTCCGGACATGGAGAACGTACACCCAGTCGTCCACCGCAAGTACGTATACTACGTGGCCGGTGGACCCGAGAACAGAGACGAGTTCGCGCGGCACCCGCTAAAATACGCCCTCAGGCAGTCAACAATTCCTCCACCACCGAGTTTTCCAATGAAGATTGCGGTGGTCGGGCCGCCTAGAAGCGGGAAATCGCGTTGCGCCCAAGAACTGTGCTCCCGGTACGGACTGCAGCTGATCCGAGTCGAGGACGCCGTCAACGCATTCCTGACAGATTACCGGTGGACGGACGTTGCGAAAACCACTGTGGGCACTTTACGCCATGGTGACGCGTTGTCCGAGGACGCGGTGGCAGAAGCGGTGACCACGGCCACGTTCAGTAGTCGGGCTGTGACGTTGGGCTACGTTATCGACGGGTATCCGGTGACCGAGAAACAGTTCAAGCTGTTGGATGCAGCCGGTATCATGCTGCACTTGGTATGTGTTCTGCGAGAGGACAGCGGTGGACCGAACGAGGATGTAGCGCTGTCGCGGTTCAGACGTGACGCCTGGAAGGCAGCGTTCGTCGGCTTGCCGTGGATTTCAGACAGGTACGGTAACGCTGCCTGTTTCGCGTCCGCGGACACCGACGGGATGGCCGCGGCCGCTTCGGTGTGCGTCCGGTCGGTGCTCGAATACCGAATGGACGTCCGCAGCAACCGTCCGTGCAGGCTGTCGGGCGTGCCGGTCACGGGCCGCGAGTATCGATACAATCTCAGCACGTACCTGGACATGTGTCCGGTGTGTAAGACAAATGAGGGCCGAATAAACCGTCCCGACGATACGGCGACCATGAGACGTTCCGCCATACAGTACCGGCCGTACATATACTGGACGTGCGGACCGAGACACGAGGCTACGTTCATCGGCGATCCAGAACGGTATGCCAACGCGGCCCCGGTTTCACCCGACCCACATCCGGTGGCCACCACGGACAGCCTTCTGTCCCGGAACCCGTTCTTCCGGTACAAGCTCTCGTCCGAGTATTGCGCGGTGTGCGCTCTGTCGTGCCTGTGGTGCCCAAAGTACAGGCGCGGCCGTCCCGAGCTGATGATTGCCTACCGCAACCGCGCGTACACGTTCTGCTCGTCCCGGTGCCAACGGGCGTTTTCGCAGCGGCCAACGCTGTACGCGGAGTACACGATGCTCGTCAGAGGACCGGACCGACCGCTGTCATCGCCTCCCCAGCCGTGGAACCGGGAACAGCTAAACGGCCTACCCGTGCTCGGCTATCTGGAACAAACCGTGGCCGCGAGCGTCAGTTCGGCGCTGGCTGGGCTGACAGCCATAAAGCCCGTGTATCCGGGCCTGACGGCCACGGCTTCGGCCATGGTGTATTTAGGCCTATCCGTCGGGAGGAACGGCGGTGGCGACCAGGACGTGGCCGACTACTACCGCGAAGCTTTCAAACGGTTCGTCGACGCCTGTCACAGTTTCAAAATCGAGGCGTTCAAATTGAAATCGTTGATGTGAATATTATCTCACGGCAATATGCTATGCGCATCTGGGTGTACTATTTTTTAACTAGTGTTTTATGTGTTTAATCGTAAATGCCAATAAACCGGTGATAAACTTTTCGTTACGAAGACTGGTCGTTTTATTATGATTCAATAATAACCTCAATTTTACGCGTAAGAGTGCGGTGGAGCGTCGATCATGAGCACAACTGGGACCGAGTGTGATTAATCGATTTATTCGAATAATAAATTAGTGATAAAAAATATACAATAGACACGACTTTAAATGTTTCATATAATTAGTAATAAAACCGTTGTACTGTTAACCTATAAGACAAGTATATAAAATAAAACAAATAAATATATATACATGTGTTATGTATTGTTAAGAATACGTAAAATGATTAATTTGAATTTTAAATTAAGATGCATTTCTTTTCTTGCAGAAATTTTGTAGTGAAGATAATCGACACTCCACTGCATTTGAACTTAAACCAATAAAATAACTAAAATAGCAGTTCTTAAACTCAGAAAACACGTGGTCTCTGAAAACATACTTTTCTAACTTTCTTCAAAAATGTTTTTAGAATATCTTATTTTTTTTTTTTAAGTATTTTCAAAGTATATTTCATTTCGTGTCAATAGATATCAGATGAACTACACAAGAAAAAAGTTCCGATAACTCGAGTATGAAATAATGATATATTATGTACTTTCAAATTCATACCCAACAAATTGCATTATTGAACACATATATGTAAAGCGGCAGAGTAATATGTACTATAATTTAAAAACCGCTGTCATATAGATTAATAGATCATAAAAAATTGAAAGAAAAACTTGAATAATAATTAATTATACCTAAACGATTACTTATTATAAAATAGTTCATAAATTGGTTTGTAATTCTATTTATCAAAAAGTATAATAAAATATTATTTATGTACAAAAGACAATAGTGATCAAAGTTAATTTATCGTTAGAAATTTTAAATTGACGACTTAATATTCATAGCCCATCGAATCATAAGCTCAAGTCCTTATAAAATCAATGAAGCGTTATAAGGTATAAGGCCACATTTTAGTTTGAAGCACGTAATATATTTCTTTAAATCTTTGAATATGAATTATAATGTGACATAGCACGGGCCAATTGGCGTTACGACTTCAATAGAATTCCAAGTACGTGAATAACGTATCAATGTTATTATCAATGTTAATAGGTATTTGATAAAATTAATTTCTGCACGTTATAGTTACCATTTTTAAATATTTTATAGAAATAATGTCAAAAAAAATATAACTTTAATAATAATTTATCTTATTACAAAAAAAAAGACAATGAAAAGGGTGCAAAAAATTTCAAGGGCTGAAATTGAAGCGCACTTATACGTATAGGCTTGAACGAGTTTAATCGGCAACTCTGTTTTTACAACACGCTGCCAAACCATATTTCTACTGATTTTAAAAGAACTAACAATGTCACTTTGCACTTGGAAACAAATGACAGCAATTATACTGAGCTAGCAATTTTCGCTCGTTAGACAGGAGTTTGAACGTCGTGTGACAGGCGGTTTCGAACTGTCAAGAAAGTACCGTCGTCATAAAAAATTCAATCAAACTGCGCTATATGTACGCTTTGCGGTGGATACGATAAAAATGTTTAACATATTATATGACTGTATTTTTTCTCACCCAGCGAATTGAGCTGTACGTCATAATATTATTGTTACAACATATTACGCAATATTTCATTGGGGATAACTAAATCTGCATCTTACCTCTTACAAGACACCGGCAGTAGATACGCATCCGAAGAGGATTCACACGGAGGCTCAAGGTCTTCGCACTCCACCACCCTGATCACCGGCAACATTTAAGATCGCTGCAAAAACCAACACCACACTACACTGAGGACGACTGAACGACAATTATATTATATTTCGACAGCGAAAATAAAAACACGCTCGCACATGCACCACGCGCACACGCATATACACACACACACACACGCGCGCGCGCAGGCGAACGTATAAAAACAAGAAATCTATTTCATTTATTCAAACGCAAAAATACACTAGCCGCGGCAAACAATAGCAGACGAACGAAGAAGGACCAGCCAATGAAAAGAAAAAAAAAACAAAAAACAAGCACAATGATAAACTGTTAAACAGTCTACAAACGCACATGCTAATGCGTATAATATAATATTCTAATCTCGAATGCACATCACGGCCCGTTGTTGTGATTAGAAAGCGTCCTAAAAGCCGAATAATGTAACATTCGCCATCATTCGTCGTATTCTAACAATAGCGACCACGCTATAATATTTCTAACGATAGTAGACCTACTGTTGATGGTGTTTGGGGAGAGGGGCTAACGGAAGCTTGGTTATTCTCAAGATAAAATCCCTCATCCTCTCGAAAAAATTCATGTCTGATTATTTAAAACTCGTAAATATATGAGTAATTCGTAACTTTTTTTTTATTACTTATATATTAAATCAAAAACTATTTCTAGTTATTTTTAGCCATTTTTTGGAATCAATAAAATATATTAATTTATATTTAGCAGACTTTTTATCATCCAATTGGGAATAAAAATATTTTTTTTCTTTTTAAAAAAAGAAGTATTCTTTAAAAATTTAAACACCTGTCATAGGATTATAATCAAATATTTTCAATGCTATAATATGTATTACAGTGTTAATATTATATTGTATGGAGAGATCCAAAACATTTAAAACATTTATACGGTAATACGATTACACAATTATTTGCCTATGTAAAATAAGTAATATTTATTTTTAAAAAAAATTTAGATCACTTACTCTAAAATGTTACTAATGTAATGCTACAACTCATTTGCGCACATTTACCTTTTTTACAACTCGTTTGCGCACAATTTTCAAACAATAAAAACCTTTTTTTCGAAGAAATTTACCAACGTATAGGGTGTACATAATTTGCGTACGTACCTCCAAAATTTTCGAACTGGTCATTAGAAGGGCTGTGCATTTAATGCACTAAAAAGTGTTAAATGTATGCATGTGTTTTTGCACTAAAAACAGGCAAAATATACACTAAAAAATAAAAATTAAAACATGCAAATACAATAAATTCACAGCACTGTTCATTAATGATGGTGAAAAATTATTATACTTTACAACATTTTCATTCACCCTTTATAAAACTTAAGACTTACTGTGTAATCATATTCTGGTATCATAGACTGGTGGGTTTAAAAATTATATTTGAGTTATTTTATAAAGCATAGTTTCCTAATAGTCAATAAACCATCATTATTTACAATTTTGCTGATTAAAAAAATAAATAATTTTAATTATAATTACAGTCATTTTTTTACAATTAAATCCATTAAGTCATTAATAATACATATTAAAAATAATTTAAAATAGTACATAATATATTATTTATTATACATAGGTTGGCGTTTGCATTAAATATGTTAAAATGTTAATTTTTTTAGATTTACAATCAGAGTATATTTTTTTCATATAATTTTGTTATTTTTAATATTTCATTTCTACGGGTATTTCCTTTATTTTTTTTTATTGAGTTAATTTTTAAATCAGTATCGACTTAAATTTCCATTAATATTTGAAGTTTTAAATTATAAATAAATCAATATAGATTAAAGCTTGTCTCACACGACTTATGCACTTGGCGAGCACAGTAATCGCGATTATTATAACGTATTATTACTGTTAAGTGACTACTGATGAGAAACCGCGATTGAAAATAATCGTTATATTTTAAGATACTCTGTACACCCAAAACTTTACCTACAAATAGGTTTCCATTGTTCACAATTTTGTGCGCAAACGAATCGTCACAAATTTATAAAATCCATTAGTATGTGCGCAAATGAGTCTCAATCACTTAATCTCAGCCTATTGTTATACTATATCACGCGTAAGGTAAATGTGAATCGAAACGAATTTCAGACACTGAAATGCTTACACCTATTAATTACTTCTTAGTTCTTAAGAACTGTATTATTATTTTTAAATCGTGTGTGTTTTTAATTAAATTGTGTATGTGTATAAAAGTGTACAAGTACATTCTATACAATATTGTATAATGTATTACCCTGCGCAAATCCGGTGAGTACTTTATCAAAGAGGTCATTTTTCGTTTTCATAAGACACGTCAGGTAAAACTGCTGACAAACGATCCAATTTATAAATATGCCATTCATTTTTTGTAAAAACGATTTCAATAAATATTTTATTAACTCAAAACGTTTAATTTTATAAATTCGAAACTATCGTCAAACTATTATTCGTTTAATAGGCAAAAACGTTGTACAATCAATCGTATTGAATCTTTCGAAAAATCACGAAAAAAATAAAACTACTAAGAAGATTAGTCACTAACTATAACAATAAATGAAACCATAATCTCAATTAAAAAAACTCATAACCTTGTATTTCGATTCGTTGTAGACGAGATGAAATATATAATTCCCGAAAAATTCTATTCAAACATTCATAATGTTTATAATTTATTTTATTAAATTGTTTTTTATCCTCTTTGGCCCTTAAGATTCTATACGTTATGTACTAAATTATTTTTAATTTAAATTGTCTAATATTACATTAAGTCATAGACATTTTTCGTCACATTTTTATATGATTTGAAATACTTTGAGACGATTTGACATGTGAATACAAGGTCACTCGTATCATGCTATTTCAATTGATTACTAAATATGTATTTTTAAAATCTTTACTCGTTAATTTATTTTTAAGCATATAAAGCATAATAACATATACGTGAGGAATTTTTTAAAATGTCCTCTAAACACTAAATTATAAACCTAACCGAAATTGGTTTTCAAATGCGATGATTTATCATTATTTTTTTTTAATCATATTATGACATAATATGCGACGCCGGCCAAGGTCAGTGAAACGAGACGTGTGACCAACGTCATCTAGTCTGTCTCTTTAGTCCTCGCATTCGTATATGTAATCTTTTTTTTTTGTTATCAACATATTATTATTACATACTGCACTCTTTTCAATAAATTTCCAGAGTAGTATCGTCTACCCGTAAACGTAGAAATATTAACGTTTTCTTCTTTCTTACAAGATACAGTTTAGTAAAATAAATGTATTAATGATCCCAATATTGATAATTATTATTAGCATATTAATTTTTGATTAATTATGAATATAAATTACAATATCTAAAATCTAATGAAAATTTTAATATTTTTTACATTTTATAAATCAAATTTATTCTAACTTATTTTGTCAAAAAAGAAAAAAAAATGTATGATATAATAATGAATCGACATTCTATTTATTGAGCACTTGTTGTAGCGAAATGGAGTTTACGCACATCGGTGTATTTAGGAAAATTGATCAATATTAAATTATATTAAATTAAGTTTGATTTCAAGGTTTTCATTGTTAAAATCATCTTATTCTGGTAACGGTTCTTTGCTGATAAAATAGGTATACACGTAATATATAATATATTACGATGATTTATTGCAAAGTTTCTACACGACATTTTGTACGCGCGTTTACCGTCAACTCGGTTCATTAATATAATCCTACAAATATTCCAAAGCGCGTTAGATACGTTACCTACGTTTATAGTTTATCTTATGTATTATTTTTTTAACGATTAAAATTTTATAAAAACTCAGTTTAAAGAAATTTAAAAATAAAAATAACTTAAAATAACTTATAGTATTGCTCTAAACAGGCGTTTAGCAAAAAATACTACTTTGATATTTAAAAATTAAAGTTGACGGGGGTTTTAATAAATCATTCCTGAAATTTATCAAAGAGCTGTTTTACTATAACATATTTTCTCAATCACCGAAATACAAATGTGCCGAAGTTCTATCCACAATTCTAATATTATGTTTTTTGTCTGTCATCGTTAAGTTTAAAATCACGTCAACATCAGATTTCAAATAATGTACAAAGAATGACACTGATGATGAAAATTGACGCAGTGTCGGGATTTTCGCAATACATCATATTTTAATCACATGATCTAAAAATCAAATCTTCAACGTTTTATTATAATCACTATACGCGTAAACACTACGTCATTCCGTATATTACATTGACACGCTCCCGGTTATTTTAATGTCATATAAGATGATTTTCAATCGTCAATATTCGCTGCAGGTAAAACATATCGGTTTTTAATTATAATAATATTTAATTAGAAGTTGCTGACTGTTTTGTAGACACAAACAGCTGCTGCCCAAATGAATATCAATTCTTTGTTATAACATAAGTACTATAAGTGAAAAAAATCGTATGTTTGACAATTAAATAAATTCATAAATAACATTATTAATATTATAACTATGAATTTTCAAATTATTTTTACTAATTTTTACATAAATTAATAACATTAATTGTATCTCATGACTCATGAGCCATGAACATTGGCAAACAAACCCATCTTATCGTTAATGTCATTTACTTTATCATTCAAAAAAATTTTCCTGTCTTTGATTGTCTAAACCATTTCAATAAAAATGAATAAACACTATAGTAGTTATTTTACATTTAAGTGTAAACAACACATATTAAAATTTCAAAAAATTGTAAATATTATGCTCAACTGCTTGAAAATTTTATTATTTTTCATAATTCTACGTGTATTTATTATTGTATATTTTAAAACTTATAACTTTTTTTTTTTAATGTTACATATTGCGGGAAACTGAAATAGCACTACTGCTTTTGTTATTTTTACTGCTGCTGCAGTATTACAATACAAAAATATTTAAATATTGAAACACAAATAAAATAAATCACTAAATAAAATGTTCAAACCATCGAATATCTTCGAAAAAGGTCTATAAAATAACACCATGATACATA